AAAAAAGGGCTTATACCTATGGGAAACCCTGAACCCCATATCTTAAAAGTTTTTCACAAAATGCAGGTGAGATCTTTGTATAATAGTATCTCACCTACCATCTCATCTGCTCACTAAAATTTTGATATGGAATCTCACAATAAACCCTCTCACACATTTATTATTTTTGAGGGAGGCTCCTACCTCATCCGCCTTCCAAATCTCACGGTAAAGTCGATCCCTCACTTATTTATCCCCTCCAAGGTAGGTCGGGGTGCCAAACTTTCGTGACTGAGAAAGTTCATTTCACTCAAACATTCAATTAATGATTCTCTTAATGTCATGCGAAAGATCTGGGCGGTATAAATGTAAAACGCAGAGTTTAAGTATAAAAATATGTAAATAACTAATTAATAAGTTGAACAATGGAGTCATTTAGACCACAGATTAAAAGATTCTAACTAGGACTCAATGATTATGACAGGCCATGTTTGCTAATAATTGTCCTCATCCATTTTTTGTATCTTGACCAAATTACAAATTTGCCATCATGATGTGGACATCCAACATCTTCATGGTCAGCTTCTCATGTCAATAGTTCAAATTTTAAGCCATGGGGGCCCACTAAATTGAGATTAGGTCATTTTAATTAAAATAATTAATATTATTTTATCATCTCAATTATTTTTAAAAAATAAAAAAAATAATTACTAACAGACTTTACGTATTGCACCTAATTTTTATTAAAATATGATTAGCATGCTGTCCTAATCCGTGCCTTTTATTAACCTATTTTTAATTTAGATTAGTGAAAGATTAATTTAGATTTGTTTGATAAAAATTTATGTTAATGAAACTCTAGTTAGTTGTTACAAAACGTTTTTGGTTCTCTGCAGTAGGTACGGCATTATTAGTGGCGAATGGTAGGGCTGTCAACGAGTTTAGCTTGAGCGAGTTCAGGCTTGGCTCGTGTTCGGCTCGTTCGAAATTTGTTTGTGAACAACATGCTCGTGTTTGGCTCGATTTAAATGTTTGGATCGCGTTTGGCTCGAAATTGACTCATTAAAATTAATTAGAAAAAATAGATGTAGAGTGCAAGATTCGAACCTAAACCAAATCTATGTAAAAGAATGTGCAGAATCACATTACTACACGAGCTGTTATGATTTAAACTTAGATATAATTATATATAATTTATTATTATATAAATAATATATATAATATATTATTATATAAATAATTATATGATTTTTTTAAAATTTCGAAGTAAAATGAGTCCTACACGAACAAATGAAGAGTCGACGAACGAGCAAAACACGAGCTACTTGATGAGCCGAACAAGAGCTGTTCGCGAACAATAAGCTTTTTTGACAGCCCCAGCAAACTGTATATATTAAACTTAATTTATATATCTATTTTATCAAAATCAAATTTGGAAAAAGGCACGAGCCTTAAAACCTTTATTAAATCAAAATCTTTATATATTTTTAGTTTGAGTCATAATTAAGTTTTTCTATTTTTAATTTAATTTTATTTAATTTTATTTTTTTTTATTTTTTGAGAAATAATGGTGTTCATCATAATGGCTTGCAATCCTTAGATAAATTTTTAGTGAGTAAAATTTATAGGAATGTATGCTCAATCACTTGCAAGTCACAACCTATATTTTATTTGTGTTTAGTTCGTTGTATTTCTCGATTTGTTTGCTAAGCAAGCGAGCTGACCTTTTTGTTATAACTCGATTTATAAACGAGTCAAACACGAATAAATATTTCTAATTCTTTCGTGTTCTATTCATTTTGACAGGAAATAATTAAAGAATAATATTTATTTATATCTTTTTTATATTAATTTTTATTTGTTTTAAAAAAAATGCTAAAGTTTATTATTTATAAAAATGATTTGGATGGTATAATTATAAAATATATAAGTATAGGTGATGGGTATGTAAATAAATAGGATTTGAGTGGCATGCTTGTATGTTTCCCTCAAATACTAAGATATATGTAAAAATGCCCCATGACCATGAGTTCCATGCTTGGCTTTCGCAATCCGCATGCAATGCCACCCAAATCTCCCAAATTTTTAGTCCCACATCTCCTAGGAGGAAAAAATTTCATTAGGAATACGATTTAAATGTAAAAATGAAAACAAAAAACTCATGATAAAGTGGAAATGAAAAGCCTCTTTATTTATTTCAAAATTAATCCAAATGCTACAAAATCTATCCTCATGAAAAGGCATGAGGATGACTTGTCCTAATTTTTTGACAACGTTTGAATGTCTACAATTGAAAATAATATCATATCCACAACCATCTTCATGATCTCTTCACATGTATAATCCTTCGAGTATTGCTCAACAATATTTTATTTTTGAGGTCGATTGTGATTTATTCATTGAGAAATAGATTGCAATGTCGAAGAAGGTGGGATTCATGTGTTATGATTTCACCTCTCGTGCCTCTGTATATGTCGCTTATCTAACTTTCTTATTAGGGGGTGGGTTTATCCTCTGGAGCGTGCTTATTGAGCGTAAAAATCTTTTTTTTTGTTTTAGGCAAATAATGTCTTGTATAGTTTTATATGCCTAACTTATGCATGTAAAAGGGTTATGTGTGATTGATGTCGTAAGGCACACTTGTTGGGTTGATCGAGTGTCATTAGTATACATATGGTCATACTTTTGTAGCCAAGCTTTTATTAGGGTTTGAAATGATGCATCAATATTGATGGTGTGGAATTTGGCTTTGTTGAGGAATGACATGAGTTTTAGGAGATACTTGAGGTTATTATATCTCCCTCTAGTTGATGCGAGTTGTTTTCCCTTTAGTATCATATATAGGAGGTGAAGCTTCCTTATGAGCCCTAGTGTTCATTTTTAACCTTAAGATTCAATTTTAAGACACTACAGTAGAAGTGACTTCCCAATTCATAGTTATACTTTTTAGTTCCCCATTCCAAATTTTTAGAAAAAATTAAGGGAGAAGCTAACTCTGACCAGTAGGCATGGCTTGACAAAAGATATACTAGTGATTAGATTAAAAACATATGCGCAGTAGTGTTATATAATCTCTAAATATTGTGAATCTTGAAATTTGCCTTTTTTAGTTTTCAAAAGTAGGAAATGCAATCAATGGGGTCTAACAAAGTGAAACAAAAGAAAAATGTCATGGTGAAGTTATTCTATTAGTAGGTGAATATTGAAAATAATATTGAAGAAATCGTCAATATTTTTAAAAGTTTATAATGAACTTTAAGAATCATTAAAGGATTCCTCTTCTCCTTTTGACACAAATATTCAATATGTCTTATAAGGTTGTTTTTTTCGATAAAAATGAACTCCTTAAAATTGATATCAATATTTTATGTCATTTCTAGCGAAAGAACCTAGTGCATGTCAATATGATAGAATCTTATTTTTCTTCTTCAAGAATGTATGGGTTCATTTCAACTTGTGAAGCTTTGTCATATTAAACAAAGGCTAACATTTTCTCAAATAATTTTGAAGAATATTCTGGGTTAAGATAAATAAAACATTAAATTGCAATGCATTTCTTCCTTAAATTGAGTATCAACCCATAATGGTAAACCAATTTATGAAAAACCTACTACGAGGATTGAATACATAATATCTAAGAACTTAGGATGTGAGCCTTTTGCATATGTTGTTCAATTCAAATAAAGGACTTTACAAGTCAGCTAACTAAGCTCCTTTTGAAGTGTGCCCTAGATATTTCCTCAAAATATATTGAGTTTAAAGTTCTCTATAGACAAAAAAAAAAAAAAAATTACTCTAGGAGTTTAGCTGAAGGTTTCAAAAAGTCAATATTTTAAAAAGGTGAATGTTCAAAGGGTGTACTCTGAGTTAGAGGCACACTTTGATAATACTCTAAAGTTCAAGACATGAGAGTGAGAGAGAGAGAGCAAAGTCTTTAATTAATAGGTCTTTGTTCATGTCAAATACATGTCACATTATGTGATGTCACGTTATCACACCTACTCATGAATTAAGAATGTTCAACTAGGTGCTAGACATGTATATGATTAAGTCTCATGTCATTATGAATTTAAGTAATATGATGAAGAATATATATCAAATAAAAGAAAAAAAAGGATTAATGAAGAATAACTTACTGTATTTTTATTAATTTTATTATAGAATAATAACTTATGAGTGATGTCAAAATATTTTTACTTTTTGTTAGAGATAAAATAAATTCATTTCAGAAGTATTTTAAAAATATTTTGTTGTTTTGACATTAAAATCATTGTTTTTCCATCATTTGATATTAGTCATCTCGAGATCTCTCACACACACACACACATATATATATTATACATGTCAATTATATACATACATATGTCATGCTTTTTGTTATGGTATAAAGAGCCAATATATTATGATGTTTTCATGAGAATAATCCACTTCAAACTTTAGAGCATTTCAACTTCAAATACTCTTATATGATAGCTTAGCATGCTTTAATGCTCACATCTCATGAATAAATATTTTACTCATACAAACAAATATATCAATTTATTTTAAAATCATAAATATAACATAATTGCATATATTTAAAGTTTTAGATGTAGGCTATAAAAACCTCAACTTTAATTTTTTTATTTTGGGCTTTGCTCATCTATTTATGTATTTATATAATTCAATATCATAATTGCATAGAACTATATGTATTAAAAATATATTTTATATTAAAAAAGTTAATATTAATGATATTTTGTACATGACCTTGAAGATAATAATGCTATAAAAATAAATGAAAAATGTTAAAAAATGATTAGAAAACAAAAGAGTGATAATTGCAATCTCTCCTTGCGGTTTCCCAGGTGGCCGGGCTAACGGACGACCGGTCCAGAAACCGAACCGCCGGGTTGACTGACACGGGTGTTTTTGCAAATTTATTATTTACAGGGAGTTTTTTGATCTAATCCACTCAAGTGCAGTAATGCTGCTCTCGCCCTCCTTGGCATGGATCGATCTGCAGTGATAAAAGGGCTGAAAATACCAATAAAAAAAAGGAGAATAGTAGGAGGAAGAAGAAGAAGAAGAAGGGGGTTCTCTTTTCGTGCTTTTCCTTCTCTACCCCTGCAATCTTCGCCCTCGATCCGACGTGAAAGTAGGAGCTGTGCTTCGCCGCCATTCGGATCCGAAGACCGCCATCGGCTAGCAGTGGTTACACGAGTCGTTGAACTGCATTTCCGGTACCGGAGGGGCCGGATGATGGGGGGATTCGGTGGGTTGTTGCCGATGGAGGGCTGAGTTTTGCTGATTCGGCGACGTGTTGCTGGAGATTGAGGTGGACGGGAGCTCGAGCGAGTTGGGAATGGCGGGAGATTCGATTGATAGGAAGAGTGGGATCGGATCTTAATGCTTGGTGAGGGGTGTGGAGAATGTCGGCGGCAGCTACGGATAATGCAAGGAGTGGCCATGTTGAAAGGGATATCGAGCAGGTACTATTTCGACGATTGGTTCTTTCAGCTTTGCTACTGTTGATATTGCTGGAATCGTATGTTTTCGCCATTCTAGTAGTTTGAGATGCGGTGCTGGTTGTGGATGTTCTGGGGAAGGGTAGTCCGTTTTGTTTGTTTTAAGTTACGCTTGTTGAGGAAGGTTCTGATACTAGTGAATTTGAGTCCAAAAACGGAGGGATGGAGTAAGTGGAAGTTGTTTAAATTTACATGAATTTTTGTCTTGAATCAATAAATTGGACTACGTTGACTGTAGCTCGCTGCGTGTTTTCAAGCCTCGTAAGACTTAGGCGATGACATGCTTATGCAGTATCGGTAGAGATAGGTTTTGACGCTGATGATTTTTGCACGTATTTTCTTGGAGCTCTTTTTAGTTCTTGGGAGCTAACGAATGGTGAATTGTCTAGCTATTATCAAAATGAGACATTCTTTTGCGTTATCTGTTGATTTTATCCGTGCTGATTTACAGTTGCTCAGATTGAAATCTGTCTTTTTATTGTTTTTCTTCGATTTTAAAGTTGGGCTGAGATTGTTTGTGTGCGGATTGTAATTTGGTTGGTGATAGAATGTTTTGTAAGGTAATATTGTCCACATTCCAGTCTCTTTTCTATCGTGGAGTTTACTAATATTAGGTCTTCTGCGATCCCTTTCATGATGGAAGTTATTGCATCTGTTATCCTGTTCTTATCATTCTTCTTTATGGCTAAGTTACATTTACCTTGAATTGTTGAGAAGCAAAATTTAGAAGATTTATACCGCACTTATGGTAGCGTGCTGATTCATGAAGCTTTCCAGGAAGCAGCTAAGCTGCACCTTTTGTTTGTTTAAGATACACACGCTGTAATTTTGTACGTTCTTTTGGCGCTCCTTCCATGGATTCAAGATCATGCAGAACACATTTTTAGAACAGCTGCCATATTCTATTTGCATTCTAGGATATTGTGTTGCATTGTCTGTCATGGACAGTATACAACAACAACAACAACAACAACAACAATCCTTTTATTCCTATAAGTGGGTCGGCATCTGTCATGGACAGTATATTCCCAGAAAATTTGCGTTTCTTTGGTTTGTTGATTATGATTATAAAATTAAGTTGGAAGAACTTTATGAGTAGATTTCCGTGCCACCAATTGATAATGCTTCATGCTTAGTATGAATTTATGACTTGTTAGCACATTGCTATGACCAGAGCTATTGTGCTGGTTGCAGAATTGTTGTGTAATTGCATGCAAATAGAAGGAAATGAATGACTCTTAAATGGCACTTTGAACGCATTTCTTTAATTTGAATGTTCTTGAATTTCAAAGGTTACGTCTAACCTTTATTATATGGTAAGATCATCTCTCTTAACTATTTTGAGATTTAGGAATGGATAAGTCATGAAAGTTAGAGGGTGGGGCTGCAGGGTGGTTATGTTATTGTCATTTAGAGTCAAATGTTCAATTTATAGAATATTTTTTTTGTAAATGCAAAAATAAAGCTGCTTACGTCAACTCTTGCCAGTTCTTGCATTGGTGATGTATTAAGCATGCCCTTAATCATGAATAAATACATTTTTTTATTCTATTATTAATTACTCAATTGGCTTAATAAATTTTAACATTGTTGCTAGTGAATGAACAATAAGTGACATCATTCAGGATTTTGTCTAACTCACCAATTTGGTCACCTCACGGAATTGAGTTAGAAAGGTTGGATTTCAATTTTTTATGAAATGTATTCATTTGGAAAGGCTGGAATTTAGATTAGTGCCACATTATTCAGTTCAAAGTACTTGAGTAAAATCAGTGTTACAGGGCATTTAATTGTACTGGTTGGAATCAGATTCAGATCGAGTACTTAGATTTAGGATGGGATATATCAAAGGAGTTTCCCTTGTAGCTTTTCTTTGTGCGTGTGTGTTTTAGATATATGCTTGTGTAACTGCTCCGGTATATGGCATTTATGTGCACTTCGTTATGTTTTCCCTTTTGTCAAGCAGAATCTTTTAATTTCTGTAAGCTTTTATTTTTCATTTTCCATGTTGCTATTCTTACATGTAGTTATCTTTTGGGACATTTACATACATACCACACAATTCTTATGTATTTACATATCAAACACCAAAGCATTCATATTTACATGCATACCACTCAAATCATTAACATCACATCAAAAATACCACCATCATTATCTTTTCAAAAGTGAATACACATTTTTCATGCATAAGTTTATGACACCAAGATGCCATGTGTAAATATCAAATTTTAGGTGCTAGATATGTAAATACATAAGAATTTTGCGGTATGCATGTAAATTTCCTTTCTTTTATAAGTGATTTTTCAACTAGAGTAACTATATTTTATGAATCTAAGTGTTAGTGAACAAAGAAGTGTCTGACAACATAGTTGAATTGGTTGGTTATGGTAGAAAGGAGATTGTAATGTTGGATGAGTGGTAAAACTAGGAATAGTGAGTTTGAAATAAGTAAATGCAGGAGATGGTGGGAATAGTACATTTGAAAAATAGATAACTGGACTGGGCATAATACAATTATGATATAGAATGTGAAATAAATATCAAGGAAATGGATAAATCAAAGCTAGCAAGGCTAGATGTTGCGCAAAAAAAAAAGGCATAAAATATGGTTAATACATTTAATAGCACTTGCAGGAATCAATAGAGAAGAAAAGTAAAACCAACTTAAAATAATTGGAAAAACTATAATGATGATGATGAGGGTGGATGGTATTGCTTTTAAGTTAGTGTTGCAGCTTACTTTTTGACATTTCATATATCTCAATATGATTCATAGAATTTTATGCAGATTTATCATGTATGCTGATTGCACTTTCCACCATTTGTAGCATACATTAGAAGTTAGAAGTCTTGCCCCTCAATAAATGATATTTACTTATTGTCACTTTCCTTGCAGGCTATTACCGCTCTTAAGAAAGGAGCATATTTACTCAAGTATGGGCGAAGAGGGAAGCCCAAGTTTTGTCCATTTAGACTGTCTAATGTAAAGTACTATACTCAACACCACATTTTTTCAACTATAGTCTCTCTTCAATAACCAGTTTCTTTGAACGTACATAATTCTATCATTATATTACATGTTTTGTTTGAGAAAGATATGTGGTTTGAGTGTATCTTGCATGTCATCTTATGCTGGAAGTTTTCATCTCCCCCGGACACTTAAATCTGTAATTAAATAGGTTTTAGCTGTTTTTTTTTTCGTAATTGCATTCAACATGGAAGGCTATTAGAAATTCAATTCGAATCTAGTGAAGCCTTTCTTGATCTTTTTATACGTTCCTGTCATTAAATGCTTTCATATATTTGCCTCATGAAGTGGTCAATTTTAATGAGAATAGTAAAAAGCATGGACTTTTTTAGATAGTGCCACATCTGTTTCATGGAGAAAAGTTGATACCGAAGTTAACCCAAAACACAATAGGAAAAACAAGGTAGTTACAATTGACACACTTGAAGGAAAATAACAACAGACTCAACAATCTAACTCAAATTAGGGTGGATTTCGAAGTGGTGATGGTGATCGGTGAGGGGTGGAAAGTGGTGGGATGGTGGACAAGGTGATTGACAAGTAGAAAACAACAAGACAACAATTCTCTAAGTTCCGGACAGCAAGTAGCAGCAAATGTCGACGTCACACAACTGTCTGGGATGTTGGCAGAAGAGGGGGCTAGAACAACAACGATGGTGAATATAGAGGCTGGAACAACAATGACAACCGGTATGGAAGACAGGAACAACAATGGTAGCACGTAGGAGGGGCTAGGACAACGAGTAGGTGGCAGTAAAGTGTTTTAGAATGGCGGGAACAACAACCAAGGTTGTATAGGGGTTTTTCACTTGTCCTGAACAACAACGAGGCAGCAATCGAACTGGACATGGGTGTGGCTTGAATAGCAACCAAGGCTGGAATAGCAGCCAAGGCTGGAATAGCAGCCAAGGGACAAGGAAGGTGATTGGAAAGCAGGAATTGTAGAAAACATCCAAAAGAGGTTGTTCTGGGTGGTTGCAACAAGGAAGGAGCGGCCAAGAGCGATGTGGGAGGATGTGGAAGGGGATAAGGGAAGATAATCACCACCTCTGGAGAGAGATACAACCGAGGCACTACCCAATGTCTCATATATAACCCTTGAAGGGAGAGAATGGTTGTTGAAGGCTGTTTTTTAACAAACTCACGCCAAAACCTAACCCTATAACATCAAAAACTCAAATATATAATAATAGGATGAATAGGATTCCCCCCACCCTTGTGGGAAAAAAGTCGCCAACACTTTGAAGAGCCGGTCGACTCTCCCAGGATGCCTCGATCGAGCGGTTAAGGCGTGTCAGTCGCTCGATCTGTTGGAATCCTGCGTTTGCTCCCTACACAGGAGACACCCACGTTAGTCTTCGGAGAGCTTCAAAGCTTCTGTTTCTTCATAGTTATTACGTCAGCCTCATTAAAGGTGGCAAAAATCTTGCCAACTCCAAATACATCACTTGTAGGTATTTTCATCCCAAAACATATCCTTATAGAACAATTATCCATCCAATTTAAAACAACTTGAGCTGGAGATGCACGACGATGTAGATTCTCACGAGTCAAATCTCGAGAAAGTAGATTTCTAATCCACTCCTCCCATTCGTACTTTGCTGGATGTGTTTGATAAACTGGTTTACCAGGAGGAATAAACATTAGGATGAAATCTATGGTAGGTTGGGCTATACTAAAGGGCAGCCATTCAGGAGAGGGCTCTTCTTCTTCAACTTTGAAAGAATCTGGATCCTATTATAAGGATGTTCCTTCCTACAAAGCTCTTGAGGTGATTTCCAAAACTGTGGTTCATCCATCATGCCTGATCAGCTATTGATGGGTATAATGCTAAAATGAATTGAATACCTTAATGACTCCATATGAGCTTCTAGAAGTGGTACAAAAGAGTTTTCTCAGACATACTAGACATCCCTCAACAGAGGCAACTCTTGAAGCAGTCTATATATTTGAAAAGTCTGAATTTCTCTAATTTGGGATTGCTCTGTGTCTAAGATCGGTATCTCATACTCATGACCTTGATGGACAACTAAGGCAAATGCTTTTGATGCTCTCTCAAAGCTTGCAAAATGGTAGCTCGAGACACCACAATCTCATACTTTGTCTAAATGCTCCTTATCTCAAACTCACTATATTCTAGAACAATTACTCTCAAATCAACTGGAGTCTCTTGGAATTGCTGGTGTCTCTGCATCGTCGGCTGAAAGTTGAGAATCCTCTATAAAATCTTCATCTTCTTCTGGATCACCGTTATCTCTTCAACTGCTTTCTGATCAGTGAAATAGATCATTTTCTTGGTTGTGCAAACTGATTCATTATGCCAAATCTGTTACTTAAAATATTTCTTGACTTGGATAAATTTAGGAATGTTGGTTGGCTCCACATGTACTCCACTCAGAAATAGTTTCTCTTTAGGGGAAGTCTGCTTAGATGCTTCACTCGGTGTACTCTTGCTACTCGATCTTTGGGTTGGACTCTGCCTGGAGGTGTGGTGGTCATCCAATGATATTGCCTATTCTCTTTTGAATCTAGGATCTGCACATCCTGTCTGTAATGAACTGGTAGATGCTGGTGCTGCATCTCTCGCTTCATCTGGAACCAAGTAATGATCTTATTTTTTCTCTCATGCTGCTATATATGTTTCAAATTTTGCTATCAAAATAATTCACTCTTTTATTTGCTTGTATCTTGTTTCACTATTTCGTTATGTGAGACGTCTTAGCACTCAAAAGACATATTCCAAGGTTTAGAGCCATTCGTTGATCTCATCCGGATTCATGTGCGCTGTCAAAATATTGTATATCCACCGTTACTTCAGAGTCCTAACATCTCATATATTTTAGGTTAAATCTTCGGAGTGGAGGTTCTTCATCTCTGGAATCCACATGGTGGAAGAGATTTACTCTATTTGTTCGATCTAGCAAGTCATAGTTATTGCTATGGCTGACCTGTCCAGATGTTCTCATTTCCTCAATTTCATCGAGTCATTGTAGCACTTAGCAGAGTTGTTATTATATTTCTTCCATGGTAAACTTTTGATCGGTGTTCAATTATTATTTCCTCGGTGGTATGATTAAGGTTCGGTTGTGGGTAGGTCAAAAGAGGTGTGTAGGGATGATATAGGGTGGTAAAGAGAAAATTTAGGTAGAGATGCTAGAAACCTTAAGATATGACTAGAGTTAGATTAGCTCTGATACCAAATGATATCAGAGTTAATTCAAACAAAAATAGGAAATGTAAAAAGGCAGTTACAACCGACACACTTGAAAAGAAATTAACAACAAACTTAACAATTCGACTCAAATTAAGGTGGATCTCAAGGTGGTGGTGGTGATTGGTGAGGGCTGGAAGGTGGCAGGATGGTGAACAAGGTGGTTGACAAGTAGAAAACAAGACTGTTTTTTCAGTTCCAGACAACAAGTGCGTAGTAGATATCAGTGTTACACGGCTGTCTGGGATGATGACAGCAAAGGGGGAGGACTGAGACAATAGCGACAGCGAAGATGGAAGACAGGAACAACAATGGCAGCAGATACAGAAGACTAAAGCAACGATGGCAGCATGTGAGGGGGCTAGGACAGTGGTTAGGTGGCTGTGGAGTGGTTCATAATGGCTGGAACAACAACCAAGGCTGCAAAGGGGCATTTATCGTGGTCGGAACAACAGTGAGGCGACGAGGGAACTGGATATGGGTAGTTGGAACAACATCCTAGGGGCGGGGAAGGCGGCTGGGAAGCAGGAACTGTAGAAAATAGACAAAAGAGGCAGCTGTAGTAGAGAAGGGGCTGCCAAGAGCGATGTGGGAGGGGATAGGGGAAGATAATCACCACTTCAAAAGAGAGAGATATAGCAGGAACACTATCCAATCCCTCTGATACAGTCCTCGAAGGGTTAAAACGGATGCTAGCGGCTAATCTAAACAAACTCACACTAGAACATCAGAAACACAAATATATAATAATAGGATGAATAAGAGTGACCCCTATGTGGGAAAGAGGTGCTAAACACTTTTAGAAGAGCCGGTCAATTCTCCTAGGATGCCTGGAACGAGCACTCCATGTGTGTCAGTCGTGGGATATTCAGGAATCTCGTGTCCTCTCCATACACAGTAGAGTTCCGCATCAAAAATTACGGTGAATATCAATAAATATATTGATATTGGCTGTTAAGGCGTGTTTTCAGGGCATTCTTTTTTTGAAATATTTAATTGCTAGAAGGAAAAAAATGTCGATTCAACTTAACAACAATTAATGTCATTATTTTTAAAGGACTAAATGTAAAGTGAGGCACAATTTTTTTCCTTCAATGCGCAAATTGAGAAGCAAGCGGTAGTTTTTAAACTAGAGCGCTTCTGACTTCTATATCATACATATGTTATATGCATATACAATTCAATTAATTAGTCAAACTTAAATCATATTAGGTAATGATTTTGAACAAATATAACGATGCATTTAATAATAATAATTTTTAGCTATTAAAAAAATTAAGGAAAATATGATTCTAAAAACTTAAAAATCAAGAATATTTTTGAAGTGTGATGACCAACTAAAGATTAAGAGATAGAGTTAGTGTCAAATATAAGGGTTCGACGTTCGTGGAACTTTGAATGCCGCAATCCTGAAATTTTTGTACATGGTTCTGTGGAATTATTAGAAACTGCGCGGAACTCTGAAGCTGCAATTCAAATTCCTGTACATCACAGATCCCGATCACGAGTTTCTGTGAAAGTGATGTGAAGCTCCTTTACGCCACTATCCTGATTGTCAGTTTTGATAAAAAATGGCGCAGAACTCCTTTACGCCACATTCCTTCGACTTTCATGTTGTCTGTACTACACGATCTCTTCGTTGGCTTCTCAACAAAAAAAAAAAAGTGATCTACAAGCACTGTATGGCTCTATCCCCGCATTTGCATCCCAACTAATTCTTTCCGCAACTATATCAGACGTTGTGCTTGAACGCGATACCATCATAATTTTCCTAGCTAGTCTTATCTCGATTGTATCGCAAGATAGGCAATCTCGTCGGAGGCTTCCCAACCAGCTGTTATCGTTTTTGTATCGCAAGGTCGACCCCGTTGCTCACCTTCTGTGCGCATCACCTTGATCCCGTCCTTGGCTTCCTAGATCGCACAATCACAATCACAAAGTGTCACTCTACGCTGAGATTCGGTGGTTATCCCAAAAATCTACAGCTCGGATACCAATTTGATAGAATTCTTTATAAAAATTAGGGAAAAACAAATATTTTAAGTCTCCAAACCTAAACCCACCAAACTATAGCCAAATCTTGACCCAACCCTAATTCCCCCTTGCTCATTTTCAAAATCAGTAACCCCTATATATTTTTTAGGCAATTTAAATCAACCTCATACAACCTCTTCTACCTCCCAAACCAAAATCCAACAAACCAAATCTTAACATAATCTTAATTTCTCTGATACCAGAGGAAAACCAAACCATAAGAGAAATAATTATATTATTGCTGAACTTTAACGAGGTTACAAACAAGGACTCTTGACACTTAGGGAAAATAGCAACATAAACTGAAAAAAACACCCTAAGACGGAGTCCATGGGGATAGTCGGTGCCTAGACAACTGGTAGAGGTCAGTTAGAGGGTGGCTGAGAGGGGGAGGAAGTCGAAACTAGTTCTCACAGAGCCAGATCATCAGGAGCAAGGGGGATTGTAAGACTAGTTGCTGGTTAGAGGAGGCTGTTGGGAAGTTGGGGTACAGATATGGGAGAGGCTGGATTCCATGGGGTGCGGATCTCACGGGGTACAGGTCAAGGCAGAGTATGGCTTTTTTGTTTCTTCAATAACTTTCAGCTCAATCTCGGGCCACATTCTCCTAAGGTTCGTTTTATCAGAGTGATACTCGGATAAATGACAAGATTGTGCACAATAATCTTTAGAGCTAAACCAGGCATTTAGGAATAGCTTCAAGCAAGGCATTCCCAAAATCTCTTGAGAATCTCAATGATTCTGCTAGCTATAGAAGCAAATAGGATTTTACTAATTTAAGTGGGAAAATGATCGTCAACTATGCCTAAGTTGACTTCGCTCAACTCATCGATGATTGAAGAGAAGTCATCCTCCAACTTCGGAGGGGCCTCCTTGACATCAAGTTCCTCATCATGAGAGGTAGAGCCCTCACTAGCAAGAGGTGAGGAGACTATCAAGAATGAAGCACTATCAAGTGCAAGTTAAGGCAAAGGATGGCTACGAGGATTTGTGGAGGCTGCAACAAGGCTTGTAGGAAAATTCCTTTAAGGATATACGACAGGTGGATTCCACAGGGAGGGGAAGGAATAATGGGATATGAGAGGGAGTTACGACAATAGGGGGAGGAAGGGCTGCAGTTGGGTTTCATGGAAGAGGAGGAAAAGCTGGTTGCAAGGGAAAGCCTGGGCTGTTGGTGGTTGGAAGCATGGGGGTGCAGGGAGAACTAGCATACGACAAAGAGGGGAGGTGGAGGTGGAGGTGGAGGTGGAAGTCGTAGAAGATAAATTACCAACGGGGAGAGGGATACAGCCGGATCACCACCCTAACCATCTGATGCAACCCTCAAAGGGAAACTAGGGCACTGACGGTTGTCCTCACAAATCTGAAATAAAAAACAACATAAACAACTTTGCTAAGACCTAAAAACACATATAAATAGAAGTGGGATGGGCTGGAAATGAAAACAGGAAGACGTGAAAATTCCCGCCTAATGAAAATAGGGGTGGAGGGGGCCGGTTCAACCCCCTCTCTTAGCTGAATTGTTTTGGGCCAATCCGGTTCAGCTTTTGGAGGAAAACCCTGTGCCATCCCGCTTGCTTTTTTTCTCTAAATATTTTCTTTGTACCCTAAAACAACCACATACACTCTCTTTCACCTCCCAAACCTAAACCCACCATGTCATAGCCAAATCTTGACTTAATCCTAATTTCTCCTTGCCGATTTTCAAAATTAGCAACCCTAAATATTTTTTTCCGCACCCTAAATTAGCCGCATACATTCTCTTTCACCTCCCAATCCTTAACCCACCAAACTAGAGCCAATTCTTTACCTACCTAAATCTTAAATATTTTGTTTTGCACCATAAATCGGTCCCATACACCCTCTCCTCCCCCCCCCCCCCCCCTCCCCCCCTCCCCCCCAAAAACTTAAAAAACTTAACTGTGACAAGTGCCGAAACTTGATGTCCCTCTAATCCCGAGAGGTTACAACGGCTTCGCCACTTTTGACGTGGCCGACTTGATGCCATATCATGAGGAGTCAAAAGCTTCGACAGATGGGGTCGAAGCTCTTTCAACTTTGATAGTTGATCCTGGGGCTGGGAGGGGACCCCATACCTGCTTAGTCCCAAGTGGGGTAGAGTCGGTTGACCCTCTCTCTAGGGCCAGGGTTGCTACACACTCCTATTAACAACAAGGGTATTTCTGTCTGTTTAATTTTATTAGGTTTATGTCATTTGTTGATTATAAATATGTGATCGTTTATTGTGTTACGGGTATTTTGTTCAATTGAGTTTTGTGAGGGCATATAATTCCTTTGCGGTTCACGGACGGGGACTAGTTTATATCTATGGCGTTTGGTGGTGACAATTGTTTGCCTCTGTTGTTGGTGGTGACATTCTGAGTTTCAGGTAGTGATTTTTATATCTCGACTGATTGCGAGGATAGGAAACTCTTGTCTCTTGTATCTTTAATTTGATTGATGCATCTTGTCTTTGTTCTGATTATTTTTTTCTGTCTCGGATTTTTTTCTTGGGCCTTTTCCCTTCTACTTTATCACAAGTGCTAAATATTCTAATAGCATGGAAGATGTTATAATTTTTATAATATGGTCTTTAATCGCCGAAGACATTTTTATCTTCTATCGTATGAGTTAAAGCTCTCGACTCTACTATCAATATAGTTAGTTTAATTTTGTTTTCAGTGAGGGCGTTTGAGAAATTAGCTTTTTGAGCAATAAAGCTTTTTTCAGTGATGTTTCAGAAATAACTTTTACTAGGACAATTTTTGGCTGTCTTTGGTTCTCTCCCTATGTGGTTCTCTCCCTATGTGACAGACAGAAAAAAGAGAGCAATTGGGATTTATCTTTTGTTTGTTCTTTTTGAAATCTTTTAGCCCAACATTTATTTAATGATTTTTCATATTTTCGATGGTGTTTTCCATTGAAGTTGATTTCCAGCTTTGGATTTGACATTTTCTTAGCTACTATCTTTTTCATGGTGGTTGTTGCGATCTTCTTGGTACCTGCAACTGTCTTCTTTCCAATAGATCTTTCACATTTTTTTTCATCATTTTGTCGGATAAAAATTAGCTTTTAATATCCATCAACATAGATGAGGGTCTCCCTTTCTTTTCAGCTTCATAGAGAGTAGAATCTTAATGCTTTCCATACCAAATTGAATGTTAGAATGGGTAGAGAGTTGTGTGGAAAATGATTGATTGTACGACTACATTTTCTTATTTTATTGTACCTGAAAAATAAGATTAGAAACTTTACATAATTAAATTAGAAAAATAACTATTAGGAAATGAAATAAATTTGAGAACTAATCTTGATTGATGTATATTTCAACACATATTAACTATCAGTTGTGAATGAGATCTAGTACAGTTTTCATGTTACTGTGGTCATACTTTATTTTTGCTGATGAAAAAGATGGATGTATTTACCATGCTGCCTTATTTTGACAATTATTTATATGGTTAAATCAGTCTTCAAACACTCACCCTTACCTATTAGATGCTTCAGCTAGAGTTTTACTTTTATATTTTCATAGCACAGAGCTCATGTAGGTTTGAAAATTTTTTTTTCCAGGACGAATCCATGTTAATATGGTTCTCAGGCAAAGATGAAAAACACTTGAAACTTAATCATGTTTCCCGTATCATGCCAGGACAGCGAACTGTAAGTCAAATTATATTGTAATTATTGGCTATATCTTGTTTTTTTTGGTCTAAGAAATACATCAATAAAAACATGTGCTTTTGAAAGCATATTTTTATATGTATTAAACAGGTAAGCTGTTTAAAATATTCATGAAATCTGCAGTGTTTGTTTGTTTTTTTTTAATCAGATTTGTCTCGTCCTATGTCTCTTTTTATTCACTGTTTCTAATTGTTGTACGAGATGAGATGGTTATTGTTTTAACAAGATATCTAACAATATTATGAGAAATTCAATGTGTAAGGCTGTGAAGTGAACTATAAGGAATGACCAAAGGAACTCTTTTAGTTTTGCTAAATTAGATTATGTTAATAAGTAGTCTGAGCCCTTTTTTATTGTTGTTAATGCTTCAGACTGTCACAAGATATCTATCTATCTATCTATCTATATATATATATATATAT